AAAAAGAGTTTTTAAGTTGGGCGTAGGAAATTTTCTTAATATAGACGAAGGAAGAGTTGTTAAGGTGGGTGTAGGAAGATCAAGTAAGGTGGGAGGAAGATGAGTTCTTAATGTTGGAATAGAAAGTGTTCTAAAGCTGGACGCAGGAAAAGTTCTTAAGTCGGAGTAGGATGAATTCTTAAGTTGGGCGTAGGAAGACTTATTAAGTTGGGCGTAGGAAGACTTCTTAAGTTGGGCGTAGGAAGACTTCTTAAGTTGGGCGTAGGAAGGGTATTAAGGTGAACGAAGGAAGAGTTCTAAAGGTAAGGATAGAAAGAGTTCTTAAGTTGGGCGTAGGAAGACTTCTTAAGTTGGACGTAGGAAGAGTTCTTAAGGTGGGTGTAGAAAGACTTCTTAAGGTGGATGTAGGAATAGTAATTAAGGTGGGCGTAGGAAGAGTTCTAAAGGTAGGGATAGAAAGAAATATTAAGTTAGGCGTAGGAAGAGTTCTTAAATTGGGCGTAGTAGGAGTTTTTCAGTTGGGCATTGGATGTTTTCTTGGGCTTAGGAAGTTTTTTAATATGGGGGTAGGAAGAGTTCTTAAGGTGGGTGTACGAAGAATTCTGAAGATGGACGTAGAAAGAGGTGTTAAGTAGAACGTAGGAAGAAGTATGAAGGTGGACATAGAAAAATTTCTACAGATGGGCGTAGGAAGTGTTCTTAAGTTGGGCGTAGGATGAGTTCTTAAGGTGGTCGTAGAAAAAGTTCTAAAGGTTGACGTAGAAAGAGTTCTTAAGTTGAGTGTAGGAAGTTTTCTTAATATGAGCGTAGTGAAAGTTCTTAAGATGTGCATAGGACGAGTTCTTAAGGGTGACGTAGGAAGGTTTCTTAAGGAGGGCATAAAAATGTCCTTAAAGTGGTTGTAGGAAGAAGTCTAAAGGTAAAGATAGACAGAGATCTTACGTCGGGCGTAGGAAGAGTTCTTAAGTCGGAGTAGGATGAATTCTTAAGGTGGTTTATGAATTATTAAGTTGGGCGTAGGAAGAGCTCTTAAGGTGGGTGTAGGAAGAAATCTTAAGGTAGGCGCAGGAAGAGTTCTTAAGTTGGGCTTAGGAAGTTTTCTTAATATGGGCGTAGGAAGACTTCTTATGGTAGATGTAGAAAGAGTTCTTAAGGCGGCTGTAGGAAAAGTTCTGAAGGTGAACGTAAGAAGATTTCTTAAGGTAGGTGTAGGAAGGGTGCTTAAGTTGGTTAGAGGAAGAATTCTGAATGTGAACGTAGGAAGAATTCGTAAGTTGGGCGTGGCAAGTTTTCTTTATATGGTCGTAGAAAGAGTTCTTAAGTTGGGCTTTGGAAGTGTTTTAACATTGAACTTAGGAATTCTTAAGGTGGGTACAGGAAAAATTTTAAGTTGGGCGTGGGAAGAGTTCCTAAGGTGGGTGTAGGAAGAGTTTTAAGATGGGCGTAGGAAGTGTTCTTAAGGTGGGCGTAGAATGAGTTCTTTAGTTGGACGTAGGAAGCCTTCTTAAGGTGGATGTAGAAAGAGTTCTTGTTTGATGTAGGAACATTCATGAAGATGGACGTAGGAAGTGTTCTTAAGTTGGGCGTAGGAAGACTTCTTAAGGTGGGCGTAGTAAGAGTTCATAAGTTGGGAGCAGGAAAAGTTCTAAAGGTTGACGTAGGTAGATTTCTTAAGGTGGGTGTAAGAAGAGTTCTTCTGTTGGGTGTCGGAAGTGTTCTAAAGGTGGACGTAGGAAGACTTCTTAAGGTGGGTGTAAGAAGAGTTCTTCTGTTTGATGTAGGAAGATTTATGAAGGTGGACGTAGAAAGTCTTCTTAAGTTGGGCGTAGGAAGAGTTCTGTAGGTGAATGTAGGAAGATTTCTTAAGGTGGGTGTAGGAAGAATTCTTAAATTGGGCTTAAGAAGAATACTTCATGTGGTCGCTGGAAGGGTTCTAAACGGAGTGATAGTAAGTGATCTTAAGTTGGGCGTAGGAAGAATTCTTAAGTTGGGCATAGGAAGACTTTTTACGGTGGGCGTAGTAAGGGTTATTAAGTTGGGAGTAGGAAAAGTTCTAAAGGTTGACGTAGGTAGATTTTTTAAGGTGGGTGTAAGAAGGGTTCTTAAGATTGGTAGAGGAAGAACAGGTGGGCATTGGAACAGTTCTAAAGGTAGGGATAGTAAGTGATCTTAAGTTGGGCGTAGGAAGAGTTCTTAAGGTGGGTGGACGTATTTCTTAAGTTGGACGTAGAAAGAGTTTTAAAGGTGGATGTAGGTAGATTTCTTAAGGGGGGTGTAGAAAGAGTTGTTTAGGTTGACCCAGGTGGGTTTTATTTTGCTTAGAATAATTCTATTAATGTGTACAAGTAAAAGGTAATGTATTCTCTCTTAAGTATTTTAGCCTTATTGTATTAAAGATTTCTTGTCATGAAATAAAAATATTTGGAGAATATGGAAACAAAAAGTAAATTAATACTTAACATCAGGGAGAGATAATTGAGATTTCAAGAACATATAATGAGGAAAGAGAGTGTGGAAAATCTGATACTCACAGGACAGATAGAGGTCAAGAGGGACGGAGGAAAACAAGGCATATCCTGCTTTATGAGCTTTATTATTAATGATAATAATAATAGAATATTAACAATAGAATTAAAACGAAATGCATGCATCAATATACCTCCATTTTTCCAGATACACACGATTTTACATCAACAATATGGTTTACTCCAATATTACTAACGTAATCTAAGCAACAATTCCCACTCATACCAATACCAGTAACTGCAGCATTTTGTTATAAACATATATGCGCGCATCTTTCTCATTTCTTTTCATAATCATCTTCAGGAATTTAACGATTGGAGACTACCAGCCAGACACAAAAATGGCACCGTAGTCGCGCCTCATTCATTCAAAGCAACAGTGGTGTTTCCGGAACAAGACAGCCTAGCTTAGCCAAACCTTCCCCAGGATTGTTTTGGATTAGAATTTTTCTTTCTCCTAGAGCGGTTACCACCCCAAAAGAAAATTGTACTATCAATCATCTGAGTGACCCATTTCTGCATCTCAGCAGGATGGCTGATGCTAACCTCCAAGAAAGCAACTTGTCGAGCTAACATTTTCGGTTAGCATTAGGTAGAAACATTATATTGAATCAATTGCAAGGTCTGCTGCGAGGAAAGTTGGTTCACTGTGTCGTGCTAGACAATTTTTCCCGCCAGAATCTACATTACATATTTATAGTGATTTTCCAAGCGCAGCTCAGATATGGCACAAGGCCGAAAGTATGGGACATCCAGTGAGGATCGAACTCTCTACTCACTCGTAATTGTTCTAGTGAAACAAGCTTGCTAACCATTACACCAACTCAAGGTGCCCACATTACATATTTATAAGTCCAGTACTCGTCCTTGCTTTAAATATTGCTGCCACATCTGGTCTGGTGCTCCTGCTATATATTTAGAGTTTCCTATAATTAAATCCAAAGAAGAATCTGCAATGTTATTGGTCCTTAATTGCCATCTCAGATTTTTTCCATTCCCACGACTGTGACATAAATTCCTTGTGCCTTTTCTGTAAATACTTTCAAGATAATTGTTCTGATGATCTTTCTGCTAGGGTACCTAGACTTTATGAATTTAAACGCAGTACGCTTCTGTATGTCAGTGAGTGTTGGACCATCTCCTCAAAGATGAAGAGGAGACTTGGAGCAACAAAAATGTTTCTACAGAAGGATTCTGGGAAAAATGTTTCTACAGAAGGATTCTGGGTATAACGTAGGCAGAACATTGAAGTAACGACGAAGATTTTAAAGAATATGGAAACAAAAAGTAAATTAATACTTAACATCAGTGAGAAATAATTGAGATTTCTAGAACATATAATGAGGAAAGAGGGTGTGGAAAATCTGATACTCACAGGACAGATAGAGGTCAAGGGGACAGAGGAAAACAAGGCATATTATGAGCTTGAGTAAATGGATGAGAGAACAGGGGTTAGAAGAAATAATCGAAAGACAATGTTTATTAAGAGCTACAAGGGAGAGGAAGTTGTGGAGAGCCATTATAGCCTACGTCCCTAGGGGGCCCGGCACATAGAGAAGATTAGACTGGCGGCAAGGTCTCATCAATTTACAGATGAAACAGCGAGATATAACTGCAAGTTCTATACTAACAGTTTATTCTATCGCACTTCACGATTGTGGAACTCTCTTCCGGCTTCTTAATTCCCAGTGGACTTTGATCTTCAAATATTTAAATGCAATGTCAATCGTTATCTTCTGCCTTCTTAATATTGTTCTTTTATTGTCCTCTCTCCTTAATAGTAACTTTTCTTATATTCCCTAACACCCAGTAACCTCTTACACCTCTGTGGCTTTATTGTCTTGCTTGTGGTGAAATTATATATATATATATATATATATATATATATATATATATATATATATATTTCTATCAATAAAATCATTACTCGTCTGAAGTTGTCCTTCCGAAGGAGGAAAGGCATAGCGTAGGAGTTGTTTTTTTTCCATTTTGTCATTAAATGCCCACTAACTCATAATATATATATATATATATATATATATATATATATATATATATATATATATATATATATATATATAATTAATTAAACAATATCGGTGCAGAGAGTTTTCGATAGCGAGCCTTCAGGAATCAATTTTGATTGCAAGCAGAAGATATGCCTAAAAAGTATGCTTATCAGGAAAGTTGATTTGAATTTTTATCCTACAAATCTGCGCATCGGTACAGGTGAGTCTGATCGAATTTTTAAATCTATTTTGGTGAGAGAATATATATATATATATATATATATATATATATATATATATATATATATATATATAGTTGATCTTTTAAGAATGACTATTAATTAACTTTCTTTCCAAAAAGCACGCCTAATCACCAAAACGAAAGATTGTCAAGAAGCATCAAAAAAGATACCGTGTTGCAAAAATATTCCATTGAACATAAACATATGGGATTACTCTAATAAGC